ATGAAATGAGAATCACACTGCAATACATGATACTGAAATACTGAATCACACTGAGTTACATAATACTAAAATACTGAATAGTACTAGACTGAGACATGTATTCTTGAACTGATTATGAACACTGAAACTTCAACTATTTATGACATGCTGAGTAAGCTATACTGAGACTTGGGTACATCAAACCAGAGTCTATATTGAATACGCACTGAGCTCATAAACGTTCAGAATGAAAGTCATGAACGAGTTATGAATCTAGAGAATAGAAGTTCTACAACTATTCAAGGAACTAGGCTTAACTATATTTCTGAGGCAATTAGTAACGTCGTAAAGGAAACGTATTGTAGGGAGAATTATTAAGTTTCCGAAACATAGAGAGTTAGCCTCACATATCTTGATGCTGGCCCTTTTAAGCGTATCACAATGTTCGTCTCCTCCTTCAATGATAATTGACGTCAATATATATCAAGATGAACCATTATTAGCACTAATTCTCATGTTTTGATCACTTAGGAATTCTATCAAACACCCTTTGGGCGTAAATCCTCACAACCCTTAATATTTGGTTTTTTCTTCACCAAGTTCTCATTATACTACTTCTAAGTGATCCTACAATCCCAAATAGATGTAACTAACACCAATTCTCATCACCTAAATGTTTACAACAATCATAAGTCAACAATCAAAAGCCTACTATAGTTCATATGGTTCTATTTATCAAACCTATTTACTATTCTCTCAAAACTCACCAATTCATATCTATAAATGATTTGGGAGTAGAAGCATTACCCTTTGGAAGTTCAATCCTCTTAAATTCGAGTTCTAGCGTATCCTTTCTCAACAATGGTGTTTCGTTCGAATATCTTGGCTGATGGACGGACCTTGGGGAAGTTAGGTTCTTGAGAGCTTCCCTTTCTAGAGTAGGTTTTCATGTTTGGGGTACAGGGGAATGAGGTAGGGCTTTTAAATAATTGAACACGTCCTAAAATTGAGGAGGAAAATAAAAATATCTCGGGTAAACCTCTCTTGCGCGAGGCATTGTCAGGGGTGCCGAAATAATTATGCAAGGCACCATCAGAGGCGCCAAAATTACAGTGCCTTGCACTGTCTGGGGCGTTTAGGAAGATGCCCTGGATAGTGCCTTGCACTATCTGTGGCACTGAGTTTTTATGGCCTTGCATTGTCTATGGCCTTGAGTTTTCATGACCTTGCATTAACTAAGGCTATAATACGTTGACACGTAAATTCATACTTTACATTGTAATTAGAAAGACAACAATCATACAGTTATTTTAGACTTATATAGTCTATTTGGCCAAGTTTCTAAAATCTGCTTATTTTGAGAAGTGTTTTTTTTAAAAGTGATTTTCAATAAAGTACTTTTGGTGAGAATCGGTTTGTGTTTGACTAATTAATTTAAAAATCACTTTTGAACAATAATTAGTGTTTGACCAAACTTTTGCAAACTTTTTCTAAGTGTATTTTTCTCAAAAGTGCTTCTCAGAAAAGTGTTTTTGGAGAGAAATTACATTTTTCTGCTTCTCAAAAATTGCTTCTGCTTCTCCTCAAAAGCATTTTTTTTCCTTCTAAAAGCTTGGCTAAACACCTCAATTTTTGGCCAAAGGCACTTTTGGCCCAAAAAAAAAGCTCGGCCAAACAGGCTATAAGTGTATTTTTCTCAAAAGTGTTTCTCAAAAAAGTGCTTTTGAAAAAAAATTATATTTTTCTGCTTCTGCTTCTCCCGAAAATCACTTTTTTCCTTGTAAAAGCTTGGCCTAAAGCATTTTTAGCCAAAAATAAAGCACTTATTGGCCCAAAAAAAAAAAAGGCCAAAAAGGCTATTAAACGAGGAGAAAGAACATCAAGCTAAACTTCATATTACCAAACCCCATAAAATTTAAGAAACTAGCTAAATTTCCTAATACCACGTAGAAACACAAAACTAGCTACTCATTGACAGGATGATGAGATATCAACAAAAAGAATCCAAAACATCCTTTCATTACCTTCCACATATGTTGCTAAAAAATATTACAAAAGACATATTTCACTTAAGAGTACTATATATAACAATCTATATATCAAGGTGTAAGCAAATATGGTAAAGTAAAATATTGAATGTGGAAAAAAAAATATGAATACCAAGGGCTAGATAGTTTCTATACAAAGTTAAATGCATACGTATGATTCAAATGTCCCGTATTATTCAATTTGCGACTGATTCCGTCGCAAATATATTTCGATCACGTGTTTTCCGACGGATTTGACGGTCGCAAATTTGCTATTTTTTAGTATTCTTCATCCCTCATAAATCTAAACACTTTGGAGCACATAATTTTCAGCTTAGATAGGAAATATCTAAGTTTTGAGATGTGAGTGCCAGGGTTTTTGAATTTGGAGTAGTTTCCCGCAGCGAAACAACGGTTTTGCTATGAATAAAAACTAAGATGATGGATCAATTCCCCCTCAATGCCTTTTTGGTTGAGCTTGTTGCACATGGCTTGCTTAGTTCATTTATATCCTCTGTATGATTTGTAGGTTATTACACAAGGGGAGGTTTACCCAGTGCACACAAAGTGCTCACCACAAAATGCTCACCCGAAGGGCAGAGGCTATGACAGGGGTTGTAGCGGCGGCGGGTTTTCCCTGTTACCCAAAAAAAAAAAAAAAAAAAAAAAAAAAAAAAAAACTAAGATGATTTCCATTTCGTCAAACTCTATCATTCTGGTGGTTTGCAATTGGAGATTGTAGGCCAAAACTACTCCTCTATTTACATCACTGATGATCAACTCCCCATTTAGTATGCCATTGGATTCCGATGGCAAAGCGCATAGTTCGAGAAGTCAAACTTCACGGATTTTCGTCCTCAGACCCCATTTATAATTATTATCTCATATATCTATTGTTGCCACACCCATGCCGGAAATGCAAATTTGCGGAACGACACATGGCCTGACGTCTCAAAAAGGTGCATATGAGCATGTATACTTGGCAAAAGCTGGTTATTACATTCTTCTTCCGGATGAGATACGAGACGAAAATTCTCTTTTTTAACGTCAAATACTGTTATAGATGATTCGCAAGAAGCGGCACAAGTAGCACAATAGTCACCACATGCAGTCAGTCATCCAATATATAGCATCCTTTGTCCATGTAGGAGTTCCCCATAATCTAGGTACTAAATATGGGACATCACAAGGCTTTTCCCAGCATGTTTTCGTTTCAGAATCATCCAAATTATCAGACAATAATATGTTAAGAGGTCATCTATAAGTTATCCCTAAAAAAAACTTTTAACTCTATAAAGATTTGAAGTTCATGATACTTCCATCTAACCACTCTAGTTCTACATCTCCTTTTCTTTTGCTTGCTTTTGAAGAATTAACCCAAATAGCCGCCCCTAATAACTTATAATTAAAAATAGTTGGTGGAGATATAATATATGCATAATTTATATATTGTATGTGTATAATTGTGTATAATTAATATATAATTTGTATATATGACTAGAAAAAGTAAACAATTAATATGGTCGGTTATTTATGTAAAGATCCCGCTTTTTCCCAAAGTAGATAGCACACAAAAACAATTAGCTTATTGGGAAATAAGTACTTCGTCTGCCTCGAATAAGATGGAATTGTCACTACTTTTGGAGTCAAATAAAAGACTCTAACTTCTGGTACTTCTATATGATTCAATTTCTAATATATAAGTTAACTGTAAAAATATTTTAAAATCTAATATTCACATTTACACCGAAAAAATGTACTTAGTGTTCTGGAGATTGTCATCTTCCTTAAGTCGGAATAGTAGTATTTCTCGAAGAAAAAGATGGACAATAAAATTTCAACGTAATAAATAAAGTAGGAAGCTTCTTTGACAAATCGGAAAAATCAATAGAAAGAAGTTTAAAGTTCTTTAATTCCCACATTATTTTTCTGAGACCATCCGTAAATCATGATAAGATTGTCATTTTTCTAGATATATTTTCTAGTCCTCGATCTTTCAAGACAGATTGAATAATGTTAAATTCGAAAAAAGTTATAAAATTAAGCAGTACTTCTAATCTGACTTTGAGATTTCTTTCAGTTTCAGGTCAAGTAAAATAGGTAATTGAAGTTCTTTTTCCTTCATAACAGAGCCTGATTACTCGCTAATACAAACCTTCTTTTTTCCCTTCCTAATTATATCAAGGGAGGGGTGGAGGGCGAAAGGAATACTATATCGCTGATGGAGTTTGAACCATCCACCTCAATTCCGAATCCAAAATCTTTTCTTGGTCGGATACCATATTGAACTGTGTGATCACTTAATCTAAATGTTTAATCTTTTAAAGCGAGATGATCACACTTTAATCTAAATGTCTTCTACTGGTGGCTATCACATGTGGCATGTCTATCAGCAACTTTATTGAAGAACCAAATAATAGTTTCTGCTATAAAAATAATTTTGCCGCCACTTATAGCATTCATCAGACAACTTTAAAATGTGAAGCATACACATAGTGAAGCCTCTTCAAGAGGGTTCTTCGTCGGTAAATACTTTGCCCGTACCCAATGTTTACATCAAACCAAACAATTTAACCTTAGTAGTTAGTATAAATTAAAATGAGAATACACGGTTAGGTGACAAATGTGTGTATGCGAGATACACATCTTGCATTCATCGTTTTGGTGTAATCACAGGGTGCGGGTAAATTTTTACCATTATTTGTACTCCCACTAGAGAGTATTGATAATATATTGTGTAGACTGTTCATAATATGCTTGTCATTATTATGTCCAAGAAATGAAGAATAGATCATGAAATTGTAGTTACACAGAAAAGCATCATCTGTTAATCTGACTAGTATGGTTAGTCCACTACTTGTGTAACCAAATGTAGTTAGCAAGAAAATGATGAAGATGGGAATAATTTTCTTGTTTCTTTTCTATCTGGTTCTCCATCAGTTTTCTGGGAAAGCAATGAATCAGTTAAAAATCATCAAAACATGGTTCAATATCTAAAAGAACATAACTTCAAATTGGTCTAAAAACCTTCAATGTTGGTCAGGGAGGAGTAAAGAGAAAAACTAGTCCTCGTCGTTGTTAATTGTGCTTACCATACCACCCTCATGCCACTTCAGAAATCCTTCCTCAAGAGCCTCTCTCATCCATTGGTGCCGGCAACATTCAATTGCCTCAGGAATTGTTAGCCAACTTCTTTTCCGGCGGTTCTGTTCTGGCCAACAATCAAGCTCTTCCTTTACAAACAAAGCAAACATGGCAGCTCTACACAGACCTTCTGGACTGTACTCGTCTTGAAGTGTTTTGCTTTTAAAGAGGTAATATCCCAAAAAATGCTGAAAAGAAGAGGTATAAATCCCACGGATTCATGGAAAACAAAAATACAAGGGAATCACATAACTTCTACATATGCTGACCTACAAGTTTATTTATATAAGTTACTTGTTTAAAAACAAAAAGTTGACCGACGACAATCTAAACTGAGACAAGTATATTTCTTTAGTAAGTTACTATGATAAATTTAATATTACTGTACTTGGACCAATTAATGAACTTTAGCTTCGACTCTTCTAAAATATTCTAAAATAAAGTTCACCCTTCATTAAATGTTATTACTTGTGTTGTGCGGACTCTTCAAAATCCCAGCCGCACCCGTGTCAACACGTCATGGGTGTGGGTATGGGTGTGAGATCCATACCGGATTTGGTCAACTTACCTTGGGTACTTTGACTACATTCTATGACCAAGAAGTACAGATTGATTGGGCATTTGGTTTGATTTTTGGGTTTATGTCATATATATATAGTTATATTAAGTATGAGAATGCTTTTCTATTATGTGATATAAAGAATAAAATTTTATTAGTTTTAGTTCAATAACTTTTACTAGTTGAAATATAGACTTTATATAGTCGTAATATACATTTATAAGCCATACCCCGACATCCCTATCCGAACCGGATCCATACCCCGACATCCCTATCCGAACCTGGATCCATACCTCCGAATCCTAAAATTCATGTGATGAAAAATCCAAACTCTAGATCCGCACATGAATCGGATACTTGCACCCGAGTCCGAGCAACATAGACTATTGTAGTTCTATTATTTTTATTACAGACGACAGTAGCTTTCTTTGGAAGAGAGAACTATATTGAAGTTCTTATCACATCACGATGCTAAAAAGGAGCGGGTCAGAATTAGTATCATATTGTAAAAAGTTCACCCCATTAATAATAAAACAACTTACTGAGCAGAAAGGAGTAAAGATGATTAAGCAACAAAAAGACATGACCACATCCAAAGCTCATGGCAGTGGAAATGTTGATTTTGCCAATGTGGTCTACTTAACATGCAAAATACATCTAGCAAAACCCACTAAAGCATGATGAACCTCCATGCGGCAGGGAATAACTTATTAGTGTATCCAAATGCTACAGAATAAATGAAGATAGGATACAACAATCTCACCACTAAATCCCCACGAACTCCAGCCTCCTCTATGGCTTCACGAACAGCTGCCTCTTTAACTGTTTCATCATTTTCCCACCCTCCCTATATATACAAAGACAGAGATGTCAATTAACAGCACTCATAGACATCTTGACAGCTCTAAGGCAAAATAAACATGAATAGAAAGAGCTTATTCTCCAATATCGTGGTGCTGCTAATAACTGAAAAAGCAGAAACCGGAACCAAAAAAAAAAAGAACAATTAAAGAAAAGAAGAAGAAGTCTATCAAGTCAAGTGTAATGTCTGAAAGAAAAAAAGGAGAACCAACTGTAAATGCCAATTCACTGGTTCAAGTATGCGCTGATGCTTGTCTACCTTTGATTGAATAAAATACTAGTAGTGCTACCAGGTTGCAATGCAGCAACATATAACTAGCATAATTAGTCATAAAGAGAATGAAGCATGTGAAACATGGTTACTGTATTTTACAAGAACATTAAAGAGTGAAGCTTGTCAATCGTCAACGTAAAACTTGGTATTTTTTTCGTTGTTAAACTTGGTAAGGTTCAGTTTCACGGTGGAGGAAGAATGTCAGCAAATCTCTTAGTTATGAGGTTAAAATACAAAGTGCTAAAAAGGACCTTACGATCAAATCCATCAGAAGACAAAGTCACATAAGGTAACTTAATGATAGCCCAAGAAAACACTTTAATCATTAGAACTACCTTAACATATTGCTCGAAATCCAATAGAACAATTCTCACCTTCGGAAACAGAAGACCAGGCCCGCTTGTTGAGTTTATCATCAGTACTTCGACTATCTTTTTGGATGTGTCACCACCATTTTGTTCCGTATCCCTGAACTTAAACGGAATACACCTGCAGCAACTCTGGTGAGAATTCAGAATAGACAGGTTCCGAGAAAATATTATTCTGATTTCAAATGCAAACCCAGGAAGTTAAAAAGGGGTAGTTGCCCACTGTTTTCACATCCTTTAAGAATTAAAAGAATTTTGACAAATGAAAGTCATCAACAAAAGTTCCAACTACCAGGGGACTGAAACCCATAATAAAGAGAGATTGAGAGACAACTTTAAGAGACATGCTTAGTATTTGATTGGAAGAGCTAAAATTTCAGATCTGAGCTTACTTTAGGAGCCAAAAGATTAAGAGACTTTTGCTCCATAAAATCCATATACTTCTTCTATTCTAAGAGCATAATTTCCGATACTTTCTAGCCACGGAAGGATTTCTCTTGTGTTCCTGAACTTTTCTACTTTGTGCTGTTGCTTCTCTATAACTTTTCTAATCACACATCACGTATTCTATTACATCACATACCCTTAGAAGAGTCCGAACAGCAAAATACTCGAAAATCAACTATCCTTAACAATATAGAACATGGAAGATCCAGTCACTGCAAGTGCTCAGTGCTTTTCCTTCTCACCTTTTTGAGCTTAGAATAATCTCATCGCATGACTGTCTCAGTGGAGCCATGGTACCAGTTTGATCGTGATAGGGTCAATGGATTCTTTGTTCACTGCTGTCAATTAACTCTGCACTCATGATGATGAAGATAACGAGAGATTCACTACATGGTTTTTGTGCTTCATTTATGTTTTATGCCATGGCTTATGAGTTATGACTCCATCTCGAAGGAGATGTTAAGCAAAATAAGAACCAAAACTAGATATAGAGTAAGTGTAATGAGAAGGATAAGGATAGCTACCTTCTGATTGGATCAGCAAAAGAAATTACGATAAGAAGAAACAGCGGGAAACAAAAATTATTTCACCCCTATAAGTCTATAACCCCAATTCTGATTTATCTTAAGCTTATCCAATCACAAACCGCCTCCAAAAGAAATTATAAATAATGTTGAATTGGAAAACCAAAAACATAAAATTAACTCAGACCAGATAGGGCCACCCAATTCCTACATTCCAGATTTACAAGATTCATTGTTTTTCTTTTACCTCCTCAAATTTTACTTCTTTTTTAATAAGCAACTTAAAGAGAACAATGGCAGCCTATTCCAACATGTCTTAACAGTTCTTGAGTACTACTCTTTAGAAAAGACTTCAACTTCTTCTTTTTTTCAATGACGGTAGTGTACGGGTACACTACCGTACAACAACAACAAACCCAGTATAATCCCACAAGTGGGGTCTGGGGAGGGTAGACCTTCATTTTCTCTCGTGCCGAGGGTCTACTGCAAACAATCTCTCTACATTCACTGTAGGGGTAAGGTCTACGTACTATCTACCCTCTCCAAACCCCACTTGTAGGCCAGTTTGCGGCATGACTATTCCACCGGGTATCTGCTACCACCACGAGCACAAGTATTGGGTCTTGGGCAAATTCACCAAGTATTTTCTTTTTGCCCCCGCTAGATTCGAACCTGAGACCTCGTGGTTCTCCATCAACTTCATTGGTCACTAGGCCACACCCTTAAGTTACAAAAGACTTCAACGTTTTTAAGACACTAAGCTTTATTAGTCTACAAAAAGCTAAAAGATTGCCCTTTTTCTTCAAATCAAATTGCACAAACCCAATACCTCAAGCAAATTTAACAAAAGAAAAAGCTAAGATAAAGAACTACAAATGCCTAATAACAGAAAAGGAACGAGCACAAAATCTTGAAACTTAGAGAAAAATCAGATACCAAAAATACCCACATTCAATAATAAGAACCAAGCAGAACCTAATGAGCAAAAAGCAAAATAAATCCAAACGAAATAGAGAATAATTAAATAAGGAAAAGGAAAAAGAAAGATACCCAGCAATGAGTCGATAACCTTCTTCATATCGCTGTTGATGCCGACCCGTTCGAGCTACCAATTCAGACATTTATATTCAAATATCTATTAATATATACAAAAAAAATTGCTAAAGCTGGTAAATCCAATAATGCATAAAGCCCTTAACCATATTTATCCCTTCTGCATTGTAAAAATTCAACCTTTTTTCTCTTCATAAACAGCAAAAAAAGTTGTTCCCATTTTCTTGGTTTTGTCAGAAAAATTGAGAAACAATGGTGAAAAGAGGGAGAAAAAAGGGAAAAGGGTGTTAAAAGCAGCGCATGAATCGGAGCAACATGGGGTCTGACGTGGTCAGTCAGTCAATTTTTAAATATTTTATTTATTATTATTACTGTAAGTTTTTACTTTTTTTTTTTGTTTTCAGTTCGCTTACGAACTTTTTGTGGATACTTGAAAAAAACATAGAAATAAAAAAGTAAAAACAAGGAATAAAAAAAAAGAAAAATCCTTGTAGAAAAATTCACGTTGTTTGATTTACAACCTAGTGGATTTTTGCCATAACATTCGAAACAAAGACTAGACCCATCGCCAATGAGCTTACTGTTCGTACTCTTTTCGTCTTAGGACAATTCAAAATATTTGACACAGTATAAATTATAGAGTATATACTATATACTTTCAAATTGTTTAAAAAGATAAATTCATTATATTATTTACATTGTAGTAACTTTTACTCAAATGTTTTCTATTTTTTTAAACCAAAAAAATAATATTATGTTATATCATCATTAATATATTTTAGAACAAATTAGGGTATTATCGTTTTTAGCCCGCCCCAGAAACTATTTACATTTGGTAGCCGAAAAAGTGTATCAAATTTATATAATTTTTGTATATAACATACATAATGCATATACATACAAAAATTATACATTTTTTCGTCTATTATTTTGAGAGTGTTACACATTGTCATTTTTCCAACAAATTACACTCTTTGTCTGTTGGGCCAACAGATCAACTGATCTTGACCCATAATTTTGTTAGATCTTTATTTTAATGATGAAAAATAATGTATTCTTATTGCATGCAATCAATGATCTCTGAAAAGTAGACGTTGCGAAGCAGAATAATCAAGGAATGAAATATGAGCCAACTAAGGATCTGGGAAGCTATCTAAGGAAGGAAGGCTAAGATAGCATAATCAATTTAGCGGAAAATCTACTTCTTATTTTTAATCACGAGCATCAAGGAATATCACAATATAATCTTGATCTCCAATCACGGACGTTTAGGACAATCACATCAAACATGTTGTATGGAAGTTCTGCAAAGCCAATTAGTTACGTTATTTAAGGGAACCATGCCTATCACACCGAGCTTCAAGGATCAACAATAGGAAAGTTCCAACCTTATTCTTGGAAGGAATCAATTAAGATTCACTCCAAGGATCAATTCATTTGGGTTGCCCATCTCTCGAAGATCTGCTTCGGTCAGAAGATCTTCCCTCAAGACATATATATACTGTCAAAGGCTCAATGAAAAGATATACTTTGATCAAACTAACTTCAAGCTTTTTGTTATATCATTGTAGTATTGTAACACTTCGTAAATTTGAACTAGGTATGGACGTGTTAAATGAGTATTAATATGACATCTTAGACATATGAATTCCTATCGGGATGAGTATGGGTTGAAATACGTATTTTGGAATCAAGACGGAGAGTGGGATGCATAAGATTCGATAAAATCGACTAAGTTTATAAAAGGTCTGTTTTCCAGAAGGATCTCGTGAAAATATGTAAGGAATTTGGTAAAACTTAAAATATGTAAGTTGTATCTCTTTGAAATATCTTTCCAACTATATATTGTGGAGCCTGAACGGATCTCTGTACAAAAAGTTATGTGCGTTTTACTGGACAATGCGCAGTATGCGGTTAGGTCTTCAGGTGTGCGGGAGCGCACCCGGGGGGTCATTTTAAAAGCCTTAATTCATCCCCCACACCCCAAAACATAAAAACTTGCTCTAAAAAGAAAAGCTCTCAAAAAACTAACGCTTCAAAGGTCCCTCCACCATCCAAGGTAAGTTCTAATGGTGATCCTAAGTTTATTTCAATTCTCCAACATCTTATTAACATGGGTAAACCCTTCAAATCATTAGATATTCGATTGGGACATCAGTTTTGAGAAACGAAACCCTAGAACTCGAAATCAAGAGGATTAAACGTCAAAAGGTAATATTTTCACCCTCTAAATGATTATAGCATTGGATTAATAATTATAGATTCTAAATTCATGATATATGAGTTGATGGTTTTGATTGAAAAGCATGAATGATTATATGTATGGGTTGTTGATTGTTGATATTGGTTAAGGGTGTTATTTATCTTATGGATGATGAAGAATGATATTGATTATAAGAAATGTGAGATTTTAGAATTTATCTCGAAGCAAGAGAATGGGTTGTTGGGTGTAGAAACATCATTAATGAGGGTTACGAGGCTTTACGTCCATAAAGTGTTTGATGAAATGTCTAAGCGACCAAAACACGATTATTATTGCTAATATGGAATCCCTTTGACTAGTATTGATATAGATTAAAGTTGAAAGGGTTGGCGAATATTGTATTATGCTCAAGAGCAGGAAGTTAAGGTATGTGAGTCTAACTCTCTATGTTTGGGAATATTAATGATTCTCCCTACACTACTATCTTTTACGACGTTACTAATTGCCTCAGAAATATAGTTAAGCTTAGTTCCTTGAATAGTTGTAGAACTTCTATTCTCTAGCTTCGTAATCCGTTCATGACTTTCATTCCGAACGTTGTGAGCTCAGTGTGTAATCAATATAGACTTGTGTTTGATGCCCATGAGTCTCGGTCTAGATTACTTAGCATGCCATAAACAGTTGAAACATAAGTTTTCATAATCTGTTCAAGAATACTTGTCTGAGTTTAGTCCTATTCAGTATTCTAGTATTATGTAACTCAATATGATTCAATATTTTAGCATCATGTATTGTAGTATGATTCTTAGTTCCTGAATTTAAATCCCTGAATGTCGAACACCTGTATTTGGACCCGAGGCCGCAGTTTATACTTTATGCATGTTTGGGCCTAAGACCACAGTTAATGCTTTATGCATCTTTGGTCCTGAGGCCGCAGTTTATGCTTTATGCATTTTTAGGTCTGAGCCCGCAATTATGTATACGTATACTTGGGCTCGAGGCCGCAACTTATGCATGTATATATTAGGCCTAAGGCCGCAATTTATTTATTCAGATAAACAAGTTGTTCATCATTCAGAAGAGAGAATATTCATATCCTTACTTCCTTTGTTCAGTTTAGTTATCAGTTATCAGTTATCATTTCAGTTATCAATTATCATTTCAGTTATCAGTTATCATTTCAGTTTTAGTTTCAGCAGTTATCGTTTCAGTTATCAGATATTAGTTATCACTTCAATTATCAGTTCTCAATTTAGTTTCAGTTTCAGCATTTATAGTTCTTTCTTTCAGTTGTCTTACATACCAGTGCAATTCAAATATATCGACGTCCCTTTTTACCTTGGGCCTACATCTCACGATGCAGGTAATGATTTACAAGTTGATGATTCAGAGCGCTATGATTCTCGTACCAGCTATTTGGTGAGCCCTAGTTCTTTCGGGGCATTATCATTACTTTACAGTAGTTTAAAAATTTACGGACAGTCAATGTTTTCAGTACTTCATTAGAGGCTTCACAGACTAGAGTAACAGTTAGACAGAGTCGCATGCTTTTCATGTTAAGCTATGTTGGCTACAAATATGTTTCGAAATTGTATTAGTATTTTCGCCCTTTGATTTATATCATTTAGACTTTCAGTATATCAACATGTGTAAGTTTATCTTCTGCATTCAGTATATTATGATATTACATGTTGATTAAGCCAACCTGTTGGTTCGCTCGGTTACATGTAGTTAGGCACCGGGTACTGTGTTATATCCAGGCCCAGGTTCGGGGCGTGACAAGTATATTCTAGATTTACTGTGTAATTAGTGGAGAGAAGAAAAAGAGAAAAATCACTGATAATGCATTGTATCAAAATCGTAGAAAGTCACCTGTGCTCTAAGATGCAGTTGGTGTATGCTTGTTCATGTGTACCGAAAAATTTCAAGGAACTTGAAGAGAGAACCCTCTTGCAACCCAAGTGGACTGGACTAGGATTCATATTGAATCTGAACGAGTATTAAAATATCCAGTTTCATTTACTTTATGCCCTTTACTTTATGTATTTACTATTTACCTCACATATAATCTTAGTCTTCTAAATGGCAAATCAGTCAATTACTTATAGCCTATTTGGCCAAACCGCACAAATCAGCTTATTTTGAAAAGTGTTTTTTCTCAAAAGTATTTTTGGAGAGAAACTACTATTTTCTACTTCTCCAAAACTGCTTCTATTTCTCCTTAAAAGCCATTTTTTTCCTTCCAAAAACTTGGCCAAACACTTCAACTTTTTAAAAAAAGTGCTTCTAGGATTGTAGAAACTTAGCCAAACAAGCTATTTATCACAAAAAGAAAGGATAACAATCCCCCCTTCCCTTTGTTCTTTCAAATTTTGCTTTTAATCCCGATTGGCCCAGGTTATATATAACGTGAATTTGTTTTTTCATTCTTTAGCCCACATTATTATTCCCACTCCATTACTTTCTCCAAGGGAACTAAACTCTCACACCCTCCTTAGCTAGCCTCTGGATGATGAACTTGAGGAGCTGAGGTTTCAAATTGTGTTCTAGATCTAAATTTTATTGAAGAATCACACCCTCCTTAGCTAGTGAAGGACGAAGATTTGAATTGGGTGTTAATAGTTATTTGGATTGGGTGTTATTTCAATCGATCGGAAACATTGAGAGGAGTTCAAATCTTAAGTTTGAAGTGATTTGGAGTTAAATTTTAGAAGAGTCTCAAGGAAGAGACAAGT